AACAAGGCTGCAGTCTTTTTCAGCTCAGCATCCTTTCCACCATTTAGAATTATTTTGATAGTATTGAAATTGTTTTTTGGAGAACCACCTCTTTCCACTTAGCTCATATAGTTGAGTGGAGCACATAGCTCAGGTCCATCCAATCAGAGGAATATATTCCTCTCCTCTGTCACAGAGATTAGGTCAGGTATGTGTACATCACCAATACGGTGGCCAAACTTAACAGAATTTATGCCTGGAGGTGTTCATGGGCTTTTTTGCCACACAGTGAAACTGACTGAGCATGAAGCCAAAATGGAGAGAGATGGGTTCTTGACAAAGTTACTTAAATTACTAGATCAGCCTACTCCTAAACTTTTAAGTTAAATGAGAAAAAAAGTTTTTTTTTTTTTTTCTTTTGGTCAAGACAGGTTGAATCGGATTCCTTTTTTTGCCAACAAAAGAAGAGAGTAATTCAGGGAATATTCCAAACAGAGATATAAACAAAGATATAGATGAAGCAAGCTCATATCTTTGTATTTCCAATAAACCCCTTTATATCCATAATTTTATTCCAGCAAAAACTTGTAGTTTCCAAGTTAGAAATACAGAAGGTAAATGAATTACCCACACTCATACCACATTCTGCATTGTGGTTAAAAAATAAATAAATAAAAACTTTAGGAATAAGCACCTACTCACAGTGAGATCTCAACCTGTTTCCTAGGCAACTGGCTCACTAATCTAAATTAAAACTCTCAGAGTTCATTTCAAGTTCAACCCAAATTTTTAAGCATCCTCTATAAAGGGATCATTGTTCTTACCATTTCTCCCTGAGGAAGACAGTTTTTGCCTTAAGAGATTAACACAAGAGTATCTACTTGGGATGATTCAATGAATTCCAGTAGGAGAAGCCTTTAGTTTTTCACCATAATCCAAATTTTCCATATTGTTTTTATATTGGATTTTTACTTTAATATAAAATATAGCAAATAGTCCTTGTGCAAACTACTTCTCCATTTTAGGCTTAGTTTCCTTATCAGTAAGAAAAAAAACCCCTAAAATTTAGAACGTATCTGTCATTACTAGCTGACCTAAACCATGAGCAAGAGAAAAAAGAAAAAAAGTAAAACTTCTGAAATGTACTATGTGTGTGCAACTGCATGTTAACTTCTCATTTTTGAGCCTCAGTTTGCTCTTTTGGAATGAACTTAATGATAAAACAAGATAGTTTACTTGAGTACCTCAATATCTGTGAGTTTTCAAAATAAACCAAGGGCTTTGTCTATCTCTATTTTTAAAGTAATATTTATCTAATTGGTTAACATCAAAACATTAATTTAAAAATATGCTCACTTCACTGAGATTAAAGAATCTAGCAGACAAGCAGAATTTTGTTTGTTCTCCATGAGCTTCAGTCCATAGTAGCAAAGACAAACAGACAATACCTCTCATTACTAGTTCCCAGACCCAGCATCCTTGTGGACCTTGGCAGATATCAAAATTTTGTTGTCACTGAATAAAACAAACTATAATCACATAGCCTGGGGATCTTGGAAGTAAAATGTTTGTGGCAAAGGACATCCTCCCTTTCAGTGAGCTCCACCAGAGCTTTAGTTGATTGGGTAAGATAAGCAGAAAAAAGTATTCTTTCTTCAGCTTCCAAAAGAGGAAAACAAAAAGGGAAGAATAAGTTAATAAAA